TGAAAGTACATAGTGCGTTCGTCAATTTGTTTTATTAGAAGCTAATTGCAATATTATAATAGTATAATATTATAGTATATATAAATCAGGTTCTATGTAAATCTTTCTCTACACCACCGCATAAAATGAGTAACGAAAATGCTTACATTGTGTTCGTATTCCGTTTTGAAATTTTAAAATCTTCTACGTGACCGAGAAATGTAACACTTAAAATTAATGAACGGTTAACCTTTCGCGTCCGAAAGGCATCGTGTATGTATCTGAGTACGTCAGGAGCGTCGAAACGTACGGGACGACACGTGATGTGTCGAAACCTATCATTTATGCGTCATTTAGGATTCCGTACAGAAGGGAAGTTTAAAGGGAAATCTAATTTAAGTTTAAATAGCATTTCTCTCGCTGTCGAGCGATCGTGCGGATTGGGGCCCAGTTTAAAGTGCATGTCCCGTGTCAAATGAGAATTGAATTTCATACAATAAGGTTGGAGATAACGAAGTTAGCTGCAAGAAATTGGTAAGGATTAAGGAACTTGAATAAGAAAGTTAAAGAAACGAAAACCAATGGCAGTGATGTTTTGCCACGCAGCAGCCTCGGCTGTTGCACGAATGGGCAGGCTCGTCCGGGTAAGTAGGTACAACGACCTCACAGAAGACCAGCGTAGAGTGTAAGTATAACAAATACTTTCGCGTTTCGTCTGGTGAGTGAGGTAGCCGGAGCCCAATTTTCAAAAGGTTGTCAACGCATCTACAACCCTCGGGTGCGAGTGTAGCGGATGTCCATGGGCGACGGTATTCACTTAACATCAGGTGAACCGTCTGTTCGTTTGGCAACTTTTCACATAAAAAAGCAATATGTTAATGCCGCTGGAACGGGAAATGTCGAGTGAGATAAGTTTAACATTTTCTTAGCGCAAAAAAAGAACACGGCTCTTGATTTGGTGAAATATCTTAATTAGGAAAAACAAATTACCTTCACAGTTTGTTCACACATTAAGCAGTGAAATCAAAACAAGACCCATTAGTGTTAATTGAAGGGGAGTATCTTTAATTTACGTTCTCTTTATATATTATCAATCATATTTGCGATATTCGCAAATACAATGTAAGCATCAAGTATTTATTTGCAGGCTTAAGCTCCCCGCTCGTCCTTAATAACCAATAAATTTGAAATATATCACGCAACCGACACAAATTGAGGGCAAAATGTCGCGTTACAAAGTCTAAAAGACTTTCCTCGGGAAAACAGATCCATTAAAAAGCAATATGTCTCGCAAGTTTTGTAATGGAATAAAGTATGAGCAACGATACGCTTACATCTCTTGTTCAGCGTCATATTCAAAGCATTCTCCCCAACCTCACTCGTGCCGTGAAGGGGGATTACTTCATGGCTACGATAATTGACTATTCAGAGCAAAATACTTTTCAACACACATTCCCATAGGCTTATACTTCAATCTATACCAGACAATTTTATCAATCCGGATGATGGATTCAATTAAAACATTGTTGGTTGTCCGTATCATTTCAAAATACTTAATAATTCATCCGTTCGATCTCACAGTACCCGTTATCCGTTAATGGTATAGATTATATTACCATTCACTAGTGGATAACGGTTTCTTTTCATATGTATAACTAGCTTTTCGTTCTAAATTTTAGTTTTTCTCAAATATTTTCAATGCACAGACAACGATCAGTTACATTTTAAACATTCGCGTAAAAACAAGAAATCAATATAAGTACAACTGTGACATTGCTTATAAAGATGTTATCGTGCGACCCAGCCGAAGGATTATTACACGCCAAGTCACGCCAATCACCCTGTTCGGGGCAGTCAATGGGGGAGGCCTATATTCAGCACTGGACACAAACAGGCTGAAATGGTGATGAAGTAATTACCGCAGCGGACGTGGGTTGCATGGACGTTGCCAACCTTATGGACGGCCCTCATTATTCCATAGGCATGTTGAAACAAACTATTCAAGGATAGAAAGCTTCGATTCTTACTTATACTACTCGTTTTTGAAAGACCCCTGGCTCCTGCTAAATTATACCTAAATATATATTAAATATATATATATATATATATATATATATATATATATATATATTTAGGTATAAATATATATATATTACAAATTATTCACGTACGTACGTAGCAACTGTTGAGTTTCTTGCCGGTTTCTTCTCAACAGAAACTGCTTTCCGAACAGGTGGTAGGTAGGTAATAAATATATTTTTATTACCAACCTACAGGTATAGTTTAGTGAACCGGTGGTAGTTTTTGAGGTTCAATAAGAGCTTAAAATGAGCCTATATTGAATAAAGACATTTTGACTTGGAAATAAGTACCTAAACAGTTCCAAATAAATATAAACAGCAGTGATAGAACAGACTGCAAAAATTACAATTGCGTTTCCGCTTTGATTTGAATTTGATAACATTCTCTGATTCGGCTTCCGTTATTTCACTTATGTTTCAACACTCACAAACAGTTGTCTAATTCCGGTGTTTTTCTTTTCTTTCAAGGGCATAAGCAAAGTGTCGCTGAAGAAGCTTGGGACTGAATAAGACATAAGTTTGCCCTGCTTATTAGCAAAGGAAGGGTGAAACACGTCTTAGCCGTGCTATTATTAGCGTAAACCAACAGCAAAGATTAGTTTTCGACATAGAGAAGAGGCAAGTAATCCCGTCAGTCGGAGGAGTGAAGACGAGAAAGATGCCCAACATTCATCATAGAATCAATCAAAAAACAGGTAACTGCTGCGTAAAAATTTACAGTTTTTCGTTAAGAAAGTAGTACGATTAGATTTTTTATGACATAATATTGACTAATACTATGCAAATAAAGCACTTCACCCTTAAAACTGTCTCAGCCTAAGGTTGTGCTTGAAGATAAAGCGTGAATCAACGGAGTAAAATATATATATATATATATATATATTGTATTTAATTTATGGAATTTTAATAATAACATTCCGCGATACCGAAATACGTTTCAAATGTCTTTGATTAAATTACTCCTTTTGTTTCTACCATTACTTTCGTATTTTTCTTAAAACGTATTGCATTTGTTGTAAAGGTGCAGCGTCCGAGGATGGTAACGATGGAGCCAAGTCGAAAGCAGCAAGTGGCTAATATAACAGGTGAGATTGATATTATAACAAAATGCTTTTCGAAAGGCAATTTTTTTTAGATATTGCACGTGTAAAGATTATCAAAAATAAAAGAGAATGTTGGTACTATGTTTACATGAAAATGGAAGGCTCATGCTATATATTAACTGACTTCATTCATGCATTTATGTGATCTTACATAATACCAAATAATGTGCTCCGGTTAGGAAAAGTTTCTAGGCAAAGTTGTAGCAGCCAGTCACAAATATAGTCCTGTTTTTTTTAACAGTATGGAAGTAGGACCGTAGAAATTTTGATCCAAGCACAGATTAATTTGTCGTCTGTTATCCACTCGACGGGAACTCAAGGGGAGGACTTTACTCAAGCGTCTCTTGATCTCGATTTACACAATCTATAGATTTAACCACAAGAGGAACTTCAACATATTGATTAAGAGTTAGCCATTGCTACATAAGTTGACTTATCCAAGTAAATTCAAGCTTCATCCAAGTAAATTCAAGCTTCCAATATTCAAGATCAGACACTACTTGTCTATTTAGTTAGCACCATTCGCAAATACGCCCAATTGAACCTTTACCTGAAAGCTCGGAGATAGCTGCGGTGCTTTGGATTATTAAGCGTAACTTAGTATCTACAATAGTGTTGACTGTGCCGTCACGGGGCGAAATTGGCAATTTTTTTTTTAATTTCCCCCATTGTATTTTTGTTTATTAACTAGAATTTGGTCCCAACAATTATTAGATAGCCGTTAGGTGTTTTACAAATTGATCGTGGTCACCCAGATCCCTATAGTTTGTTTTGAATAAGAACTTGTCCCTGACATGAATGAGACTCACCTCGTTCTGGACCCAACCAATTATTATTGTGATTGTGACATCTAAGGCATTACGGATCACGTCTGTCCAAAAATGTGCATACAATTCATATTTTAATGACTATTCTTTACTGAAACTTGCTGATTGATTAAAAGCAAATTTTCTCTTTGAATACAATAAAATGTAGCATTGATTTGCACGAAGTCAACTTTGATAGTAGGATCTAGCATAGTTGTAATATTTATTATATGCCTGTTATTATGTGCCTGATACAATTAACACATTTCTTTTATGCTAGTAAGTTGTAGGTCGCATATCGATGTGGTATTGATCATATAATATAAAAATAGAGTTCATTGAAAGGGGAAAACATTATTCTACATACTGAATATAGAAAATTCGATAGCTAGAAATGTAATAAACACAAGATTATATCATGAAAAATGTACAGTTTTTCCCATGGCACTTTTAAAAATATAACTTAAACAAATTTCAATTGAATTTATTTGAAAGCAAAGTATAAAAATTCATGTAATAAATAGGCTAATGTAAGAAAAACGCTCATGTAAAATTAAATAAAATAAACTTCAAGCGTACTTGAACGATTTTAACTTACCTCATCTGTAAAGTCAAAAAAACAATACAATACAGCGATGGGGGAAGTGGGGAGATATGGGTAAATTTTAATATATTGTCAATTACAATCAGCCATTTTTAATTCAATACCTAACCAGTAGAGTATTTATATAGTAGGGTTTATAACACAACGTCGTGAATGATTCTTGATCCAAATGTGAACTTTCTTCATATTGGGCAGCACCGATTTCGCCTTTGGCATTTCTAAGGCGAACGAAAGCAAACATTGAAGCGATGTCGGTTTCCCGAAATGCTAACACAGCATGATGACTATGTAGTTAAATAACTTTTACGGTTTACTTAAGTAAACCGTACTAGCGAAAACAATAAGTCACTTACGCTCTTTATGTCGGAATTATTATGTTAGAAAAACATTAGTGATTTATAATAACTAAGAAAAATGTTAAACGCACCGTCCATTCGCGTTCCATCCCCGTGCCAGTCTTCTTCTGGAACAAAAATGTTCATGTTAAAATATTAAGTGTGAGTATAAATTAAACAGAACATATTTTGGGGGATTATTATTAAAAGCCTCGACAGCTTAACAACCATTTCCACAGTAACGCGAATCTAATGACTCTTCCTAAATAAATGAAACTATTCTTTACGGATTTACTTTTTGTTATAAAAATATACAGTTAATTCTTAAAGCATCCGTAGTTTCATTAGCAATGCGTTGACTCTTCGCGTGCAATAATCATGGAAGCTGTTTAATTGCTCTTTATGTCAAATAGACTTCTAGGTGGAATAATATACATGTTACATAAAAAGTATAAAGTTGTAAACATATTATACAAATCAATCATGACAGAGTGTAATTTTTATCCAAAACAAGTACGAGACGTATTGTTTGTAGTTATTTTGATACGTGAACAATAGAAACAAGACCTACGAAATTAGGTATACTTTATGCTATATTATATTATAATGAAATGTATGCATTATCAACGCATTCGTGATTTATACCGAACTAATTTTTTAAATTGACGAATATTGAATTTTATTATAACTTTAAATTCCTGCACACTCAAATGTATTAAATATAAATATTAAACATAAATCTATTGAAAGCACAGCAAAGTAATGGAAACATTTTCATTTATTAGGATATTAGAAACATTTCAATTAGACATGAATGCGTCTGACTCGTTACTTGATGGTTTTCACATTAATTAGTTGGCTTTGAATGAAAAGATCGAACAGTTCAATATTGGACAAGGATTCATTACATCGTGCCATATTTTATATATAATAATTATATAATCGGCTATTTGCTCTTTAATAAGTTAAAACATTGCAAATAAGCAATAAATGAATATATTTCGTTCAGCTTAAGTTTAATCAAGCAGAATTCATTTTTATCACACCCGTAGGGTTGCAGAAAAAAAAAAATTATCGGCTATTTATTATAATTATATCGGAGGGGTGCTGACTTGTGGTGGGTGTGGCCGCACATTCGCTGCAAAAATCGGCTACGTCAGTCACCTGAGAGCGCATCAGCGACGCTCTCAATATTAGTAAACAGTCGCTGTAGCCGAACACGGCTAGGGCATGACACACACACACACACACACACGCACACACGCGCACACGCGCACACGCGCACACGCGCACACGCGCACACGCGCACACGCACACACGCACACACGCACACACGCACACACGCACACACACACGCACACACGCACGCGCACGCGCGCACGCACACACACACACACACACACACACACAGGGTTGCAGATTGGTTGGCAAATTTTAATAAATTGGGCCCGGCCCATTACCCAGACGAAAATCAGAAGTATACCACTTCCACTTCGCGCCGATCTTCAGCAAAGTCGTGGTACCTCCCGACGCACCTGGGCATATATGGAGCAGCGTAGACTGCTGCATGTGGCCACCACAGTTAATGATGACTATGTAAGGAATAAAGGCCACGCAATAGTGTTTGCTGTTGCACGAATGGGCAGGTCCGTCCGGTTAAGTACCACGGCCTCACAGAGGACCGGTGTAAAGTCATACTTCTGCGTTTCGTCTGGTTAGTGCGGTAGCCGGGGCCCACTTTATGAAAAGGTGGCAACGCACGTGCCACCCTGCGGGTGTTGCAGGTGTCCATAGGCGGCGGTTATCGCTTAACATCAGGTGAACCGTTAGTTAAGACAAGCAAATCCACGAAAATAGGTGCATATACGCGACAGCTACTTGGTCTTTGATTATATACTTGTCAAGTACATAATCGAAATAGTCACCGCAAAAAAGATTAAATACCTTTGGTTTTTATTATATACAGACACCTTTGCCTTCCGAAGTTAATTATTGCATTATTATTAATACCTAATATTTAGAGATTACTTGTTTTTAAATAAACTGTTAATATTTAATCCTGATTTAGTAATATACGATTAGGCAAAATGGCTCGGATAATTTTGCGAAAACTTCAAGTGAGCCCTGATGTAATATCTTGAAAAACTAATTTAATGCAAAATTATAATCATTTCTTACATATACATATAGTTAAATGGATGAACGATAACTTAATTAAGATAGAAATATGCAACAGTTTCAGAATGGACCGACTCACACTAGATGCACGCTATTGCTGTGAACACCTCACGAGGTGGCGATCACAGATTTCAGACAGAGTATAAAATTTAAATGATATCCAAATTGGCATTCGAAAAGACTGTGAGATTTTAGGTTTGTTTTCTTTAACCAAAAAAAAATCTATAACTCTGCCGTAACTCAACAATAGGGTACTCAATAATATTAACTTTGTGACAATAGGATACGCAAAGCTTTTTTACAATAATGGAGTAAAAAGCTCATGCCTCAAAGAGGGAGAGCTGTGCGTTCAATACCACTCCGTAGGACTAGTGGAGTTGAGACTACCGGTGGTTGCCCTTGTGTAAGGTGGTGGTGCTGTACGAACTGTCCGATGAGCCACTCCCGCGTTTGCTGCCTGTAGTGTTGCGTCACTGTTGCGTCCCAATATATTTATTGTAAGATCTTGTACGTTAGACATAATCTTAATTGTTATCTAAAGAATAGTGACAGACATAAATTAAATACTAGAAATAAGGACAAATTAATTACACCATTGTTACGTCTAAAAAAAGTAAATAGATCGTTCATGGGGCAAAGTGTGCGCATGTATAATAAAATCCCACAATCGGTATTAAGTCTACCACTAGATGAATTTAAACGCAAAATTAAAAGCAAACTTATGGCTAAGGCATATTATACCATTGCAGAATATCTTGACGACGCCAATGTGTGCGGTTAATGCTGTTGATACTCACACTCACGTGGGCTAAAATGACATACTTGTTCTATTGTAAACTAATCGTTTTAAAAAAGACCAACTGTTGAGTTTCTTGCCAGTTTCTTCTCAACAGAAACTGCCTTCCGAACCGGTGGTAACTTAAGAACGTATTAATTTTTATGTAAAATTTTTGACATTTCATAAGAACGCGCAAGCGTCTATGTGAATAAATATATTTTTTATTTTGATTTTGAGTGTCTGGATCTATTTATTAGATGTAATACATTGTTTCGTGTACACAGTAGAGGGCGTAGCGAGAGTCTAGCAGTCTGGCATTGGGCGGTATGGTTAGGACGTGCGCCTGCGGAGCTGTGTTTAGTAGAGGCAGTGAAATACAGATCCTCATATTTAGTTACTTTAATTAACTTGCGTTCACTACACCCCCTATTGTAGAAAGAGAGAAACTTGTCGCCTACGCAGCTCTGTTAGAAACACTCACCGCTGTCCCGGCCTTTCCGCTTCTTCTTGCCGCCGGCACCAGCCTTGCCGCTCTTCTCGGATTTATCCTTACTCTTCCACCGGCTCAGCATTTCGAGCCGCGTCTAATCACCTCTCGTCACTGCAATCCACACTCCTAGCCCACCCATCTCCTATCTAAACGCGCGGACCAACATCGCCGGCGGTTTTTACGTTACGAACACATTATATCACTTCAACACACATTTAGTACACTGTCACAAATGTTCAGAATCAGCATATTCACGACCGCACTCGATTGGGATTGTATATTGAGTATTTTTTATAATTTTATTATTACGATATGTAATTCTGTTGCGATTCAATTCCGGTTTTCGTTAGGTAGTACGGCTAAATGAGGTGAATTCAATTACATTTGTAGAAAGAGAGCGATAACAGATAAAATATTTGCACGCGTTGCAGTTCGCAAAATCTTTAGATAAACAACGGAGAAGTTACATTATGATATTATGAGTCAGTAGTGCACACTTATCGAAAAAGATAATTTTAATCCGCTTATTATCGATACAATGAGTTTATCAAAAAAAATATTTGAGACAAATAATTTATACTCGCAAACTTGTAATAAACGTTAGAGAGAAATAAAGAATTAGAAAATCAAATGATATTTAAATTTTAGCGGTCCCACCTGAATGAGAAAACACGTGAAATTAACATGTCAGTGCCGAGAACCTATGAACTTTTGCCAATCGTGCCTATAGAAGTTTTCGCTTCAAAAACAGTAGTACAAAGTACTTAATTAAGGAATCAAACGCCAAGTTGAAGTAAATTGATATTTAATAATAATATAACTTTCCAAGCCCATTATAAGATTATTACATTTATATAAGATTTCATTGGCAATGACAAAGATACAATATTAAACACAGTTTTTGATTTCTAAGCCGATTACAAATAGATCAAAATGCTTGAAACCAGCATAGTGATAAATGTTTTTTTATTTTTTTTATTTTAACTGTCTTTAGCCCATGTTAATATTATTGGTATTGGTCCTTGGATTTCGAAAATAGAGCACTGAACTCGGAAAAATGAAATAGAAATGTATGTTGAGAGATAGATAGAGAGACTGCTTTCTTCTAGCTGTCTTTGGCCGCTTTCAATATACTATCTGTCTATAGATTTGGATACTGGAGATAGAAATTTGACGAATGTATTAGACGACCCGATTGGCGTTGTGCGTAGTGACCCGGACTCATGCGCCAGAGGGTGTGGGTTTGATCCAAACTACTGGAAAAATATTGTGTGATGAACAGTGTTTTCCCAGTTGTTGTCTGGTTGTTGTGAAAAGTATGTTTAACTATGTCTATCAGTTGTCTAGTATCCATAGTACAAGCGTTGCTTAGTTTGGGACTAGAAATAGTTGTGTAAAATGTGTTCTGAAATGTGCTATGCAAGCTAACGTCACTTACCTATCGTTTTCCAGTTACCAAATCTATAGATAGATAGAATATTGAAACTCGACGTTAAACAAATGAATATAAAGAAAATTGAGCAAATTAACTTACCAGGCCTACATAAAACATATACCTATCTGACATAGCTGTTCAGGTAATTGGCACAGTTACCGAAAGTACAATTGCGATAACGAGGTGGCTTATTCATCCTTAGAGCCACTTACTTATAACCGTACATCATTAAGACAATCAATATACTTACAAATCGATAATTGTTAACGGTTATAAATCATTAAATATAACAATATTACAAATAGGTCAGAATATAGATTTCGGTAAAAATAAAACTAAGAATAATTTTTTAATGTGAAAAGTTGCCAAGCGAGCTTGCGGTTCACCTGATGTTAAGTGAATATCGCCGCAGTGAACATCTGCTACACCCGAGGGTTGCAGATGCGTAGGCAACCTTTTGAAAATTGGGCTCCGGCTACCTCACTCACCAGACTAAACCCGAAAGTATTTAATATACTTCCAATTCACGCCGGTCTTCTGTGAGGTCGTGGTACTCATCCGGACGAGCCTGCCCATTCATGCAACAGCCGAGGCTGCTGCTTAGCTTACACAACAATGTTGGCAATACCCAAAAGGGAAAGTGCCCAATTTTAGGAAATACCTAAATTTATTATGCGCTTAAACCTTCCTTCGAGTACCGAGATTTGCGCTATGTATATCGATTATCTCCCATTTTATTTATGCTTTTCTTGTCAGTGCTTTTCTGGAGGTTTAAATTTAAATTTGACCGATCACGAAATGATTCGGTCGTTTCGATTTTGTAAAAATATTATATAAAAAGCGTATAGTTGTGGTCTGTTACATAAATTGTATTTTATCTTTAACTGTTGTATTTTTAAATGTCACATTGAGTATTTCCCGTAATGATAGATGTTTGTTGACGTATAAAAAAATAACGAATGAACGTTCTTTGAACGACACAATCATAAGGAATTTTTTAAATAAAGTTAAACAAATTCAAAATTAAAAGCATTAACAACTTAATGGTCTGTTAAATGGATACATCAGATATATTAACCGTAAAGACACGTAGAATGTATTTTGTCTATTACGTAGTCTGTCCTGTTAGCGTTCGTCATTATTATACAATTCATTTATGGAGTGATATTTTTTTTTCTAAAAAAACGATAAATTCCCAAATAAGAACTTAAGATGTTCCTTTGTAAGCTTCTGAAGGAACATCATTAGCTGTTACCACGAAACTTATCAATAGTCGCAATCCCCCCTAATTGTGTTCTTTTGCAACATCACACAAACAGCTTTAATATTACCGATCGGCAATCGAAGCTTTGTGTACAATTTGGGGTGCGAACAAAGACCATCTCGAACATGTTTTCACAAGAAATGGCAAATCCGCTAAGGTCTCTCGTCTTTTTCTTATATATGAATATGACATGGAGTCACATAAAATTTGATATGCCTTTTACTGTGTAACGCGTACAGCGAAAAGATTGAAAAAAAAATTCTCGTTCCAGTATAATATGAATATCTTTAAGGCAATAGTGAATAGTTTTATAATGTGCTATTACGCTCACCCGTTGCTACATCACTAAGAAAATTAAATTAGTCTCCTATGAACATTTAATGTTAGATTCAGTATTTTTCTGTAGATGAGCGCAATTAATTAACGTCCATGAACGTACGTATAGAAAAATCATATTAGTTTGACCCAGTGATCACTACGATACACCTCAGTTATCACTCCGTATGTTTTTATTTGAATGCTGCTCTCAAAAAAGCGCCAGGGAGGAAAATTTAAACATGCACCTATCTTGAAAAAACTTAGTATATATATATCGCAAAATTCTTAAAGCACATTTTTGTGAGACAACGTTGAGAGAGCGTGATCTAGTGACGGTGTGTTGAAACGAAATATTCTTTAGTCTAGGCACGTCCTAGGTCAGCATGATTACTGCATTTCCCCCGATAGATGGAGTGCAACTGCAGGCAGATGCAGGTCCGCGCATAGTTCGAGCCAAACGCCGAGGTGTGGCGTGGCAGTGGCGTCGCTCCGGCCGAATAAACGGTAATGTGGTGCCGAATAAAATGCGCGATTATTATGTTTTTCGCGAAATTCGGTGAGTAGGCGTGTTGAAAAGAGTTGATATTGTGTTCGTAGCTCCCTTCGATACTGTACATCAAAAAAAAAAAAGACCGCCATAGAAATGTGAAATCGGGGCACGCCTTTTCGGAATCAAGATTTTCGCTCATTCAGTGGCGAGGGCGCGAGATAAAAACATGTCTTACATTTTAATGATCGCGGGAGTGCTTTTTTTTTGTTTCCGAATCGAATTACAATCGATTGTGAATGGACAATGTATGAGAATATTGCAAGAATCACTGAACTTTTGGCCGATAGCAGGGAAACTGTAAATTCAACAGGTAGGCTATAAATAGATAGCGGAAGACCTGAACATTTTCGGATCAATAATCGCCGATGTTATTACAATTGATTTTGATGAGACTACAGCGTCAATATTTAATTAAGTTAATGATAATATGGAATAAAGAGGGGGGGATGAGTCACGCGGTCGACTAATTTAACGAAAAGATATAAAAAGAGAACAAATAATGAAGGTGCCGTGATATTATATTACTACTCATAGCCTATCATAACACTAAATTGATGAAATAATTGCAATTTTCACCAATCTTAGTCGTACAATTATTTTATAGGACCATGTATTTGATAGTTATTTTTTTTAGTTTGTTAACGATATTTCCCGCTTTCTTTTTTCAGCTACAACCATCCGGGGCAATGGCGCAGACAAAGGTCCCTCGGCTGCTCTCGCTGGTAAGTAATTAAATATATTTATTTAATTCAGCAAGTCCTACGTTTTAACCCCGGCGGGGTCGATAGAGAAATAGTCACTCTATAAGGGCAACCTGGTTCTATAACTTAACACAATAACTTATTGAACAATTTTACAAAATTATAAAAATTTTAAGATTCTCCTTGGGCTTTCTTCACACATCGAATATGCTTCAGCTGTTTGGATCTAACTTGTATATAATGCATCCTCGCGTATTAAAAAAATCCAAGGCGTCTTTACAAAAAGCCTAATCTACATTTCACCGAAAATCTGGCATAGACAGCCTTAGATCAGAGACTTAAACATTTTAACATTTGTAATTTATGCAACCAAAGAACTATTAGCTGATCTATCCTTTTTACACAAAGTTGTTAATGGAAGTACTAAATATACAATTCTTGAAAAAGTAAGCAATAAAATAACAACTGTTAAACTCTTTAGGGTTTCTCAATACCGAATTAATTTAGGAGTGCATCAATCACTTTCAACATTAAACGTTTTTAAATAAAATTACAAACTCTTGAATCCATGTTGAAGTAAGTTTATTTTCTTTTTTAACTTTTACTGTTGCTTTATACAAATCTGTTTGATATAATTATGTAAAGCACCTGTTAGTACAAATTCTTTTGGTGTTATTTATGTTATGTATAATGTATACCTTAGTATTATTTTATGTATAGTATTATATGTAATATGCCTTATAAATTATATTTTTCTATGATCCCTCTTTTTTTGATTTTTATGAACAATGCACCTACTTAAACTTCCCTGGACGAACGGTTGATGACATTAAGTCCGCCTCTGTACATATTTTGTGTGCATAAAATATAAATAATTAAATACCTGTAATAGGCATAAATATAAATCCGTGATAGCTCAGTGTCCGGGCGCTCGCCCCTAATGCAATGTACTCGAGCAACCTGACTTTAATCCCCGGTGCCGGCACCAATTAAATTTGCTAATTTTAATTGCTGATTTATTACGTGCTCTACGGAAGGGAAATATCGAGAGGAAACCTGCATATTTTGAAAGTGATAAGATAAAAAATTATACATCGAAGATATGTGAAGTCAATCCGCAGTGGGGCCGGGTGGTGGATTATGCCCTGATACCCTCTGTATAGAGCAGGCCTTTGCCCAACAGTGGGACATGCATAAGCTGTTTACTATAAGAAGCAAACCCGTATACTATTGGTGTACCTTATTAAGCAAAATAGTTATAAATGTTAGGTTTTACAGACGCATTAGACCACTTAGGTGCCGCGTTGCCTTTTATTACTATCATATTAGAATCCCGCTTCTTTCTTTGACACACAAATACACCCTTGGCAGGGTGATAATTTACTTATTACATTAACATTCTTATAACATTTTTGTAATTTTTTTATGTAACTGTGGTAGGGCCACGCAACGTTTTCACTGTTGCACGAATGGGCAGGTCCGTCCGGGCAATTACCACGACCTCACAGGAGACCTAAAGTGTTATACTAGAAGTGTTATACTTCTGCGTTTCGTCAGGTGAATGAGGTAGCCGGGGCACACTTTATTAAAATGTGGCAACGCATTTGTGTGTTGTAAGTGCATGTCCATGGGCGACGGTTATTACTTAACTATAAACTTATTATTACTTAACATCAAAAAATGTTCTTTATGGAAGTTCGTTGCAAAGATGAAGTCACATGAATAGTCACCTTAGTTAAAACTTACAAGTATATCTTGCATATACTTGAGCGGATTTCCCTTGCGCGTGCCCATGCATTAGCGGAAACTCCATACAGAAATCTTTGTGATGTATGCACACATGCAACTACTTAGACATGAAAGAATTTGAAGTTGTTCTTTGGACTTTTATAATATCTATGCCAAAGCTAAGCGGGCAATGGATCAATCGGACAAAAGTACAATCTTAAGCCCCCTAAAGAAAGCTATTTATAACATGATGGACACAAGGAATCGATAAGAAATTTGCTGAATGCTACTTCTTAGTCCCTAAAAATAAGAATGAACTCTCAAGACACAGTAATGTACGTGATATCACTACTAGTAAAACATATAATGTTTCTACCAACAACGAGAACGCGTAGAATAGTTGACTTTTTTATGGTATAACTAACTAGCTTTTCGCCCGCGGCTTCGCTCGCGTTGAAACCTTTAAATAAATATATTTTTCTTAATAAAAAGAATCCTATGTGTTTTAAATACTTCTGAGAATACGTGTATAAAGTTTCATGATAATCGGTTAAATAGTTTTGGCGTGAAAGCGTAACAAACAAATTTACATTCACATTTATAATATATATATATATATTAGGGATTTATACGTTTATACAACAAAATTCCAGTAAACTTTCAAAGTGGATACATTATTAAATTAAAAAAAATTGTTAAAGAAAGTTTGTGTGTTAAAGTCTTATATGTATTAAAAACATACTATACTAAAAAAAACATTTCAGCGACAGAGATCGACTAATACTCTCCCAGAACAATATTTGTTTATATTCGTATGCACATACGCAAGCTATAGACGGGCTGTCTGTCACTTGAGTCTACGTGAGTCATTCCGGCATCTTTTTAAGAAAATAAACAACTGAACACTCCTGTCGCTATATATGCTTGAAAGTCATTTATATACGTAATAATATCAACCTTTCATACAAAAAAAAACATACCACATCGCGTTGGGGCCGTGGTGCACTGAAAGTTCGTAGGTTTGGTTCGTAGGACTGGCTAAAACCAGAAAGTCATTTCTTGTTAGATGTATTAACTTTTATAATAAAATAGGTGACATCCACAAACAACTAAACACAACAACCAATTAACGTGAACAATTTTAAACATTTTGTAAAAGCTACCCTAATGGCAATGGCCTAATATAATATATGAGTCTAAGAATACATTATGGACGACGTGTGCAAATGAATCTTGCTCTGCTCTTGCAATTTCCCTGGCTGCTGTTGACTTTATCTTATATATAAAAATGGATTGCTGTTCGTTAGTCTCGCTAAAACTCGCGAACGGCTGGACCGATTTGGCTAATTTTGGTTTTGAAATATTTGTGGCAGTCCAGGGAAGGTTTAAACGATGAGAAATTATGGAAAAATTGCATAGAAAATCGAAATAACAACAATTTTATCTTCCCATACAAACTGTACCTGTCAACCTGTCAACTATGTCTGTCAAACACTTCCAGATTCTCTAGAAATAATTTATATGGCAAAACAACGTTTGCCGAGTCAGCTAGTAATTAAATAATTTTGTATACGTGCATCATTAAAAAAAACCGCCCAAGTGCGAGTCAGAGCACGAAAGGTTCCGTACAATTATCTATTAAAGCGGCAAAAAAGGATGTCTGTTCTTTTTATATTTGTTGTTATAGCTGCAACAGAAACACATCATCTGTAAGATCTGTTCATTAGATCAGCCTGGTGACAGACGGACAGACAGACAGCGGAGTCTTAGTGATATGGTCCCGTTTTACCCTTTGGGTACGGAATCCTAAAAAGATAATAAGATCGCAGTTTCTTGTCGGTTCTGTAACATCTGAAATGAGTAAAGAAATAATTATAATTATAATTAATTCATTTAAAATTAAAGCCTATACTAACATACAAACTTTCCTTTAATGTTTTTTTTTTAAATTAACAACTGCTTTATTGTGAACTTTTCTGGATTTTGTTTTTATAATAACATATATTGTCCCACAAAGATTTACTTATTCTACGCAGTCTAGCAGGCGGTTCATCTAATGTTAAATTACCACCCTCATGGTACAACACCTGGGGGCGTGTACCATGAGGGTGGTAATTTAACATGCGGGTGTGTTGTGACAACCGTTAAAAAAATATTCCCCGGTTGCCCCACTCACCCGGCGAATTAATACCTCCACTTCGCGTTGTTAGGCCGTGGTACTTCCCCCGAGAAGCCTACTCGTTCGCTTATACAATACAATATCAGCCTATTGCCGTCCACTGCTGCACGTAAGCCTCCCCCAAAGTGCGCCAACTATCCCGGTCCTGGGCAGCCCGCATCCATCCGCAGCTCTCTTAAGTCCTCAGTCCATGGTGCTGCAGGCCGCCTCCCCTCAATGAAAACCAACTCATCCGCTTAAGTCTATATAAATAATTTAGTCGCGTAACTATACTATGAATACTGGAATGATGATCCGAAACTCCATTTTTACAGATAATGCATCGCGCCAAGTGACAATAGCGAAACTGTGCATCCGAGGTTCCCTTCATGCGCTAATTAGAGGTAAATATACTTTTGAATGCATTGTAATTAAGCCGTCAAGCTGAGCGTCCTTATTCAGCATGCTACAACAACCCAAGATAAAATCCCACAGCCAGTATAAATGTCATTCAAAGAACTAATTCGCTGTCCTTTGTCATCACTTGGTATGATGGACCTGACAGCAAATTAATTCCAAGCGAATTTTGCCAATCCGCATTGGGATTTAGATAGCTGTTACTACAAAGAAGGCCTTACATTTTTACTTAACAGAAGCACATTGAAATATACATACATGATGTTCCTTCATGTTACTGAGTAAATAATAAGAAATTGATTGGATGTGTCGTCACGCCCAATTATTTGTTATATATTATTACTAATTATATAGTTATTTTCCTAGCAGTAGATTCTGTTCGCTGTTATTTTACTCCGTTTACAATAAGTTTCTGTAATATGGCTGTACAAGAAATGAGCTCTTAATTCTTTCACTTATTTTATGCATACATAAACTACGGTTAATAGTATATTTAACCACGGTTATTATTCGCGTGAAAACAAGAAATCCAAACACATAAACTAAAGCGTTATTGAAATATCCAGTATCTGGGGACGTAAATTACATAAAAATTAATATTACTCTAATTTTCCGTTCAAAGAGGCCGGGCCTTATTACTAATGTTTATTCATTTCTGATTTAATTTATTTACAGAGACTGATTTTCTTTCCCATTTTAACCATTTTTCGGTAGGAACT